TTAACATGAAAGGAGAATCGGCAAGAAATTGGAAGGCAGAAATTGCCATTTGTTTAAGGCGATGGCTTGGAAGGTCGGTCTTGTGAATATCTAAGTCAAGATAGCCGACAACCTGCCCGGGACTCGAGCTAAATACTTTTTCCGAAATGAGAGGTTTGGCAGAGCGAGAAAGCGCATTGCACTTATTCGGAACGCGACCGGCTTAAATCCCGACTACGGAACAACTGTACTTACTGAGATTTTCTGTGGTTTTCCTTACTCCCTACAGGCAAATGCCATGATAAAGTTATATTATTAAAGTAGGTTGACCACGACTGTTTCCTTCCACATAATTTCCGTGCATTATCATCCAGTCGGTCAATGCTGAGTTGCTGATATTAAATAAACGACAGACATCAAAAATATCTACACCCGATTTACCACGCAACATATCAAAATTACCCTGCCTGCAGGCTTCGTGCATTACACCAGCGTAAGTGAAGTTGCCTGCACGTAATCTCCCTTGTTGAGGTACGCAGCAGTCTGCGTGCCGAGCAAAACGGATGGCTTCTTTTGTGTCCCGCTAACAAACAAACCCCGTAGCCTGTAGTCCGCAACGAACTATACCGACCAAGCGACCGCCGCTTGTCGGCGAATTTAGTGCCAACTTCTAGCGGATAGAGGGTGTCACGTAGTCAGCGCAACGGATCCCCACGGTCGTTATTCTCGGTTTTCTAGACCGGAGCCGCTATTTCCTTGAAATAGCTCTACAATTATCCTCACGAGGCTGAGTGGACTACGTCCCAGACCTATACTTCTCAGAAAACTTGTTAGCGTCGAGAATCGATCTCAGGACCTCTGGATCTGTAGCCAGGAACTCTGACCACTAGACCACAGAGGCGGTCTTTTGTGTCCCGCTGGAGCATCAAATTTCAATCGCAAGAACAGAGAACGCGTTGAAGCTGTGTAGCTTCATAAAATGAGGCTAACCTACATACACAGAAGAAAAGGACACTCATGATAACTGCATCTCATTTATATCAACGAATGAAGTAAATCCAGGGATACCTAAAGGTGACTAACAGTGTATAACTACTGTAGACAGGTCGAATTGAGAATCTATACTGTGGCATTTGTTACACTTATACATCTTGGCAATTCATAGACTACGCGCTGAAGCAGACGCAATGCAGGAAGTTTGTGCCTCTCTGTGCTTACGGCCAAGATAAAAAAAAATGGCTGTACAGCCATCGATGAATAAATGACAAGGGAGGGCAAGCGGTAGCGCAATTCATTGAGGCACTATACTACAAGCCGAAGGTGGCGGGTTCGAGCCCCGATGAGGTGGATTTTTTCAATTGACCTGATCCTTCCAGCCGTACTATGGCCCTGGGATCGACTCAGACTCTAACAGAAATGAGTACCAGGAATCTTCCTGGGGGTAAACGGCGGCCGGAGCGTAAGGGTGACAAATTTACCGCCATCTGTGAGCCCATATTCTAGAGAAACTGTTGGAGTCTCGACGTTCTCAACCATATGAGCCTCCAGGACCTGTTACAGGGATAACTTTACCTTACTTCATGCCCGCCTGCATATGTGTCTGTTGATCATAGAAATAATTATAACGCTCTAAATTTATTAGGAAAGAAGAGGGAAGCCAAATTAAGAGATTGGGGTAACTGTCTTCTGTGATATCCCAAAAAACAAATATCATCTTAGCACCGCCGTAAGAAACCCAGATGTCACAGCTTCGGCGGTATCTCCTGAAGAGACTGCGGTAGACTACCAGAATATGTGGACATGGACTCAGCGCTGTCAGAATATGAGTAAATGCTGTGTATTTGTTGGACGCTAGTTCCCGATACATGTGAGTCGCAAACTTGAAAGAACATTGATAGGGGAACAGTATTGCTTTGCAGACTCCGTATATCTGTCGGAGACAATCTTGTGGTGTCAGTATCTTTCGATATATTAATCTACTTCTCAGTTCCACGCCTATCCCTGCATCGAAGTCTCCGTAACCAGTCGCGATAGCAATATTTAAGGAACGAGTATGGAAGTAACATCTTCACGACAGCCCAAACCTTGTGCTAACCCTGTAACAGACCATGGAGTCCCATAGATTTGTGAGACGTCGAGGCTCCCACATTTTCTAGACAATCCGCTCTCAGATGACGGTGAAATTGTCAGCCCTACGCATCGGCCATACTTTACCCCCAGGAAGATTCCTGGTACTCATTTGTGTTAGAGGTTGAGTCGACCCCAGGGTCATAGTGCGGCTGGAAGGATTAGGTCATCCAGCTCATCGGGATTCGAACCCGCGACCTTCCGGCTTCTGGCATAGTGCCTCAACCAACTACCCTACCACCTATCATTCATCGATAGCTGTACAGCCATTTTTTTATCTTTGCCGTTTTTCAGTTCTTTGATCTTATACACAGACGGTAGGATTCCTTGGACGGATAATCAGCCTGCCGGTGAGTCACCACCTACACAGAGAACAACACAAACAAATTATAAATGCACACACAGACATCCATATCTCGAGTGGGATTCGGACCCATGAACCCAGTGTTCGAACAGTCGAAGAACGTCCATACCTTAGACCGAGCAACCACCATGATCTGCACTTGTGCCATGATAACATAAAATTATTACGAATTAAATATACACCTTCAGTGCACCAATTTATATATAATAACAATTATTATTCTTAAATTCAGATTCTAGTGACAGGCGCCGTCTTCTCTGAGGATCATCCTCCTCAAAATTGAGTAGAAACCCAACTTTCTGAAAACAGCATGTCCCCAAAATTAATATCTTTATCTCGTCTTTGAAGCTGCTAATCCTCGAGACCACAATCTTCTGTAACTTCTGGTCATTACTTCTTTGGAAAGAACACGGTGAGTCACGCTTCGGACCTGATGCGTAACTGTTTGTGAATGACAACACAGCTCATCTCCTTCGAGCTGTGCTGTGCAATCTCAGATGCAACGGAGAATTCAGAACAGAGAACGGTACCGTGGAACCGGACGCTGTTACTGTATACACAGTGCATTCAAACACTCCAAAATCTATAAACACAACGATAGTGACAACAGGGAAGCAAGAATTAGCCTTCTGATACTGCAATAAGCTTACGCACTGAGAGAAGGACGAAGCTAAGGAGATCTGAGAACGAAGAATGTGTGGCATACCAAGGAAGTGGCAACAGGAGACTAGGAGAAAATGCATAATGTTGATCGTCATAGTTCATAATGTCCAAATACTGTTGGTGAGCAGGGATAGCGCAGTCGGTATAGCGACTAGCTACGGGCTGGATGACCAAGGGGTCGGAGTTTGAATCCCGGTAATTTCAAGAATTTTCTCTTCTCCACGTCGTCCAGACCGGCTCTGGGGTACACCCAACCACTTATCCAGTAGGTACGGAGACTTTTCCGTGGAGTAAAGCGGCCGAAGCGTGAAGATGACCACTCACCTCCAGCTAGTGCCGAGGTCAAGAAAATATGGATCTGTATATCCACTCCCCCATACGTCTTCATGACATAGTGCTTAATTAGTTAAGCACAGAGACAATTTTACCTTTTACCGATACCGTTATGATGATCACAGCAAGGAGCACTGAATGGGCGAAGGATGTAACGCGAATTATAATAATGAGAACTGCACATATAATTACAGTCGGTAACCACAAAGAGATGTTACCACTTGGAATACTTAAGTGTAGATTGGAATATAATATTAAAATTTATATCAGAGGGATATAGAGGGAAGTTATGGAATAGATGGAACAAACATGATGCCTCGCAGATTTGCATCGTCATCATATTTGTAAAAGTTTACTTGCAAATAACATTTCAAATAATATGTAGCTACATTAATATTCTATTTCTGTACCAATTTTCACATGCCAAGATTCAATGGTTCATTAGTTATCGACAACAAATCTAAAACTAAGAGAAATTTCGCATGGACGCCGTGTTTTTGTTTTGCTTTTTACAAATGTATAACTTTAACAAATGTGTGTTTTTTCTAAGATCTCTTACCATACACACAGGTTCTCGCGGACTGTAGAAAATTAAAAATTACAGCACTGGGTAGGCATCCAATAGCATAATATTTTTTCACGTTACAATTTTGGTTATGGTTGTACATTAAGGCGTGTTAAGCTATTGTTCTCTGTTCTATACTTCTGTGCAAGTAGAGGCATATATTTTGTTCTCACGAAGTGTCGTATTTATCCTTCTATTTTCGTACAAATTTCATCTCAGAACATACTGAACGGATTTCGATCAAATTCTGCATTGAGTTCCGCGGTCTTTATCGATCAATCAAAACCACTGCTTTTCACAAAGTTCCACTGGAATATTATGAAGTATTTAAGAAAACCCATTACTGGAAAATGTATGTGGCCTAATATTTTATTAGATTTTTATATTTTCTATGTATCATTAGATTTCCAACTTTCATGCACACTTTTTCAATATGACTGATATTACATCCAACTTCAAATTATTTTAAACGTAAATAGTGCTATTAAAATTATGACGATAGATTTGTCTATGTTATTAATATGCTTCAGAGCAATTAAAATAGCAGAGAATATTACTGAAAACAGGCCTATATGTACTCACCTTACATCTCTTTTTCTTAAAGAAAATACAAAACGCAAATACAATAAAAATACAAATTTTCGACAGAAAATTTCAATTATGAATTTCTTTTACAAATTTATATTTGAAGAAACTTATTTCTTGTATAGCTCAGTCAAGAAAATATAACTAAAAACTTGACTTTGTACCAATGGCGTCAGTAGAAGTAACAGTTCCTCAGTTCTATCGTGAATTCTTAATTCTGGACACTCTGTATCTGTAGATTCCGTTCTGTGGCCTCACACTGTACCTTTGCGTTTTTTGGTGCATGTAAAACTAGCGTAATCAGACAGTGCATCTCTCTGCAATTAACTAGTTTTGTGTTTAATTAGAGAATGGAATAATTGTACTAGCTCCGTCTCTTTGCAGCCATGTCCTCCCACGACTCGGTTAATTGAATGCCGCAAGGCGGCAGCACAAGTCCAGTCTCAACAAATTGTGCTGATCTGGGCTTTGGAAATAACAGAGGAGGCCATGATGGAATGACTTCTATTTTCTGCCTTCTTCGGTGCCATGAAATGATGGAAGATGTAATGCGGTTGTTGTCTAAACACCATATTCAGAACTACTACACGGATATGGATGGAATTTGACGTAAGAATTTTAAAGTAAGAGATAAGAGACGAATTTAATTTTGGACGTAATCGGCCCGCATTTATCCCTACATCATATGACCTTCGTTATAAATTAATAATTACAAAATTTAATGAATTATTTCTGTTCATAATCTAGATTAATATTTTAATTGGCTGAAAATCGAAAGATATAACCTCGGAGGGTGGCACCTTTGCCAAATTTCTAATTCTCAACATACCAAAATAATACATCATACAAAATATTTTGGAGTGCTTTATGATTTATCTACTTAAGCATTTTTTCAAGGCTAAATTCAACGATTAATTTGTTATTGTCATAAAGCTCAAAGCTGAATACAGATTTCTCACGGTTTCCGTATTGTTATTTTACATTTCCACGTACATTAACAATATTTGTATATATTTCTCTAACACATATTACCACATAATTTCAGGCCCCTCCATTAAAAGTAGGTAATGCCTCTGCCAGCTTAGTAGTTTGTATTACGTTCTGTTAGTATTATTTATTGTAAGAAAATAGAAAGAAAGAAATTGGGGTTTAAACTATTTGCGTTATGTCCATATCAAAATTCATGAAAGTCCGTCGTCTTGTTCGTAACTTGTCAGGAGCGGCAGACAGAGGAGCTCGTGGAAACAGACACTTACACACAAGCGCGCATGCGCATACACGTACACACTAACAGAGATGATGACCGCACAGGACGTTATTTCCTTAAGGATTAAGAACAACGATACTGGAACACGAATTAAAATCGACTTTACCAAGCTTCAAAATTTGAGTTTCGAAAATAGGAAGGAAAATATTTCTAGAGTGTAATATTTCTACCGCTAGGCTCTTTTAGTTGTAGGCTTGAATTTGCAGTATGTAAATATTAAGGCTCGCGACTCATGACTGATTATCGACTCGGGCGGTGTCCTCATTATATAAACTCGTCACGGACCGCTAAGAAAATATCCCCTGTAAGACTGGCTTCAGTTGTTGTGTTGGTATCTGTTGCCGCGGAAACGTGTTTATCGAGCCATTACCAACCAACAGACAATGTAGACCTGTCACAATATGTTAGGTTATATTGAAGCGGAAGCCTAGCAATAGATACACGCTTTGAATAATAGATATTTTAAAATGTTTTCTTCAAATGTTATATAAACAGTGATAATCCACCGTGACAAAAATCTCCCTCTCTAGCGAAAAGCCGTGACAAAGATAACGCAATACTAACGCTTGTAGTAGACAGATTTCTAAACTTATGACATAAGGTGAACTCCATGATGCGAAATTTTTACATTTGATGAGATTTCAGGTTCTCGTACTTATAAGTGTTCTTTATTTTCAGGTTTTAGAAAATGATTGTAAGAAGGGGAAGTGAGTTATTGTAGAGAATCCAATCATTTATGGGGGTACTTATTGTAATTCGTGTATCTCTGAGTCCCAGTGAATGAAATGATGAATACATTTAAAATGATTTGGCAAGATTTCAACACTAAATTTTATAGGAGTTGCTAAACAAAAGAAAATACAAATTTAAAAAGGACAGTAATCTTAAATTAACGTGAATGTGAAAAAGAAATGACAGGGTGAGTTCTAGTAGAATATACATTACTTAAGTTTGATTTGTTTCATTCTGGTCCGTCACACTTACAATTACAAATATAAACCACTCCGTCCAATGTGACCTGTAAGTTTTTTACTACATGAAAACTTAACACCCTTACATGTTTCGGTCTCTGTGGACCATCTTCAGAGGGCAAACATCACTACAAATAGGAAACCAC